TATGTGTGTGTGTGTATGTATACATGTGTGTGTGTGTGTGTGTGTGTATGTATACGTGTGTGTGTGTGTGTGTGTGTGTGTGTGTGTGTGTGTGTGTGTGTGTGTGTGTGTGTGTGTGTGTGTGTGTGTATATGTGTGTATGTGTGTATGTATGTGTATATATGTGTATGTATGTGTATGTATACTGTATGTGTATATGTATATATGTGTATGTATGTGTATATATGTGTATGTGTATGTATGTGTATGTATACTGTATGTGTATATGTATGTGTATGTATATGTGACTAGTGTGCGGTTCTAAGAGATTACATTATTGATAGTAAGTTCCACTTCGTCTCCACCTTTTTTTTCCTTTTATGATATTAAAAAGACAAATAAAACTGATTGACAAAGAGCTGTGACACTTTTTTCACAAAGACGTTGGTAAACTCTTCCAGTAAAGGCGTGGACTGGCCGTCCACCTGGAGGTGTAACTGTAAGTCCTTTTAGCTTGAGCACTTGGTGTGGTAGTTAGTTTGCACACAGACTATTCTCAGTGGACTCAACTCTTTTCAGTGCGGTACAGTGCATGTGTCAACTTCTCCCTTTTCTTCATGATAAAATACATTTTAAACCAAAAACTGAAGGATTGCACCAACAAAGATTACTTCTTTAACCAGATTAAATCATGCTGCACCAAAAGTTTAAAACTAGCTTAAAGATTAAAGTCAAACCTCTTTTCTACTCTAAACCTTGATTCAATTGAATTCTGGTGCACCAAAACTTCCTAAAATGGCTTGAGCCAAAATAATCAAGTTCCCCGGAGAAAGTTGAGGGACAAACTCAACCGATCCAGTTTTATGATGCCGCTGCTGAATTTCTCTCAAGAGACCGGTTCAGCAAGGAAACTCAAATCAAGATGTTACAGTTAGGCTGCCCCTGTGTGTAGAGGATTCATTTAATCTAAGATTAGTTCTAATCAGAGTTTCGCAAAACTAGGTTTGAAATTAGTAAATCCAGATTAAAATTAAGCAGAGCTCTGTTGCACAATCTCTCTGTTTAGAGAATCAACGTTTTAGAAGCTTGCCTAACTTCAAATGTATCAATAAATAAATAAATGTGTGTGCTGTCGGGACCTAGTGAGGAGGCTTTAAAAGAGGTTCGCGCTGTAGTCCTGCATTGTTTGCGAGCTCTAATTCTCCTTCGAGCAAAAGTAAGGAAAAAAGAGACTGCTGGTGTTGTTGTACCCTTGTATTTAAGATCTGACAACAGGTTCCAATCCTGTGTTTGGCATTTGTCTGGTGGGGGGCCGATCCTCAAGCTACATTTGGAAAACAGATTCCCACCATCTTATTGAAGTAGACAATACGATTTGTACAGATTCACAGGTGTGTTGAAAGTACATAAAAAAAACAAAAAACATACATGCGAAAGGCACAGGTAAAACCCATTGCTATCGTGCTCTCGGAACGTAAAAGAAAAATCACAGCAGGCCCCCCTTACTCCTCAGTTAATCATATTCAGAACAGACGGACGTATAGGATTTTCTGGTGAGTTTTTAGGCCAGGTGTGAAAATGAGTGGAGCTCCAAGTGCCCTATCCACCAAATGATAGCTTATATAGACCAACAAAAGGTTTTGCTGTTTGTGAATTGTCTTTGATACCTTCAAAGTCAGTCAAGCAGTAGTGGCACTCTTAAAAACAAGGGTCAATATCTATGAAAACTGCCAGACGTGAAGCCCGTCTTAATTTATATGTGCTAATCCAAGACTTCCAGCAAAGTGGTCAAGGTGGCATATTTCCTCTCTTAGTATAATTTCAAAGGCTTTTGCTGTAGATGGTTGGGGAAGTTTTGGCGAATAGGATGCTTAATTTTGGCAGCAGGGCGGTCTGTCATTACTGCACCATCTGGAAACTCTACATACACAGGTTTGATCCCCATGACCCACTGTCAGTAGCCTGCTGAAGTGTCTTTGAGTGAGACCCCTGCCAGCTCATGATCACAACTTCCCTTTCTGTATTCCACCAACCCTTTCTTAATGGCCCAGAGGCTATACCAGCTGACCGCCAGGATCCAGCCTGCCATCAGTCTGCTCTATTGTTCAGCTCGGTATGTTCAAGCAGCATTGTGCATAGGCATTGAACTAGCATTTTAAAGTGCTGGTCCCAGGCCATCTATAGTCTGTTGTTTTTATCCAAATATGTAGTAGCATAGATGTACCTCAGAGTTGTTTGAGCTTTACAATAGTCTTGATTGCCTCTGTCCATTCAGCCACCCACCATATCTTTAAATTAAAAAACATCACTATCGGGCATATCTGTTTGGGCGTATGAAGATTACATGGTACCTTTCAGCACCTTCCACTGACAACAGATCCAGAATTCCTGTGTTCCTTCATTTATTTATGAAGGAATTATATTCAGTATTTCCCGCTTTTTTTGTGGTTGGATCACACTTCTGTTAATGCCCAAAGCTTTTGAGCCAGTATTGGCTGGTTTGTCCACCTCCTCACTTCTTCTTGTCCCTCTGTTTCTTGCTGGATTTTGTCAGTGGCAGCGCTGCCCCTTGTTGGCGTGAAGCTACAGAGACACTACCATCCGACTCAAAATTAAGCAGGTACTCCATAGCGTTCAATGACATCCCCTCCTCGTCCCTCAGCCTGGAAAAGACATCCTGATACAACATGCCCAGTTCACGCTTCATTTCCTGCAGGTTCCTCAGGGCTTCCTGTTGCTCTCGGAGCAGCCGCGAACGGTAGCGTCTCAAACCTGACACATTGTCTTCCAGTTCGTACAGCACGTCCAGTTTCCTCTTCCTGCAGTTCTGGGCTGCAATTTTGTTCTTACCACGGCGTCGTATGTCCCTGACGAGTATAAGCTGCTCCTCACTAAGCTGGTAATTGGCCAGTAGGTCATTAAACTCTTCCACTGGCAGATTAACAATCAGCTCATTGGAGAAAGGGATCTTCCGGGTTCGTGCACGCCGTTCATCCCGGCTCCACATTTTAGTCTCAGAGATGTGTCTGGAAGAGGAGTGGTGGCAAGGCTTGGCATCGTCATGTCGCAAGAAGGATTTGGTTGACATCTTGCCATGGGATGGAGAGGAGGCGGACAACCAGGGCTGGTTGTACGTGTGATCGTGGCCGATATGCTCCTGCCAAGGAAGGCCATTATACAGCTTGAGATCCCTATAGTTGGGAGGGAAGGGTTTCTTAACATCTTCAGGGTACCCTCCTCCGACTGCCCCCATCTCCTCCTCTTCCAGCTCCTCCTGCTTTATGGTCATCTCCCCTTCCATATCTGAACCTTCTAACCCTTCCTCAGTGTCTTCATCCTCAGAAAAGGGACTTCCCACAGCCGACAAACAAGATGAAGAGGAGGTTGAGGAAGAGGAATAAGAGGAGGCCTCAGAAGCACATGGAGAAGCAGGGCTGCGGCTGAAGTCCAGAGAAAGACCAGAGTCTGAGTCAACTGCGCCATCTAGGAGGAGAAAACAAGGAAAGGTCAAGGTATGGTCTAGAGTTTTATATTACATGCTTAAATTCAGCATTCATATGCTCTTAAAAGAAAGGTTATTGCACATTTTGTCAGAAATAGTTACTATAGAAGAAGGCCTACTGATTCCCAATTTAATTACCTTGCTGATGTCTTCTTGGTTGACCCTGATCTTCCGTGATCGCGACGCCAATGCCTGAGTGGTCAACATCTCTACTATTTTCCTGTTCGATGATTTCACTCCCAAGGAAACCCTCCTCTTCCAGCTTGGCTGCCATTTCAGGGCTGAATCCTTCATCCAGAGCCAGGTCCAACAATCTCATCTCATCCAAGATGACATCATCCTCTAAGAGGCCACAAAGTGGGCTAGGGAGACCATCTTCATCATTGACATCCTCCTCTTCATCAACCAGAAAGAAACCGGAGATAGATGTCAGAGGGTCTTGAGTCATACCATTCCCCTCCGGAGATGGGGTGAAACTAGAAGGTGTCAAGTCACGTGAATGAAAGTTAGCATCAAAGCTAGGAAGGTTGTCAGGATGGGGAGCAGACTGTGAACACGGACTGCCTGCCATGGTATCCACAAGACCTTGTGTTAGCAGATTTATGTTGAGGGTACTTGAGTTATCATCTGCATTTAGTCCCACATAGAAATCTTCTGAAGGATCTTGGGCAAGCAGATGTGTGTGGTCCGGAAGACTGTGCGAGGGATTCATGTTAGAGTTTTTCAAAGTGTCCCTTGAGTTTAAGGCTGAACTGTGGTCATCCAACTCTGCACTGGGTGTGAGGGGAAGCAGGGCTGGCTCTTGCTCTGACTGCCTTGGAGGCCCCAACAAACCTAGAGACAAAGAATAGGCATGTTTTGCAAAATGTTAAGAATTGTAGGATATGCAACTGAGCCTTTGGTGCAGTCATTAATAGATACATTCAGGAAACAAGATTGTTATGGTTTTATGACACTTCTTGACAAACAGCGTCGTCTGGCAAGCGTAGTGCCCACTCTCCGGTTCCCCCTCACTGTAAGCAACACTGTAAGCTCTGTCAGCACTTTCCCTGTTGTTTGCCCTGTTACATTACATCACAGTCATTTCGCAGACGCTTTTATCCAAAGCGACTTACAATAAGTGTCACCAGAAGTCATAAGTGCATCTCCTTTGTTAGTGCTGTTAGCACCGCGGGTCACCTTCGCAATGTTAAGGGCCGTTGAGAGGCAATCGAGATGCTCCCAATCTTGTATCTTGGACCTTTAAGGAGCAATAGTAAAGTCTGCCAGAGGTGAGAGACACTCTGAATGTCATATATAGCTCCTTTAAATTCTCAACAAAACGGTCCAACTTACTTTTTTCCAAAGCTTTTATCCACATCAGCCGATGGAGTTAATCAATTGCCATGAAGATGGTTTAGTTGGCCATCGTCTCCATAACAATTGATCAACTCAATCCGCTGAACAAGGCCACGAGATGGGGTTGAAGCTTCGTACAAGTAACTGGCCCTTTTGTTGAGAGTTTTATTGTCCAGCTGCTGTCTCCAAGGTCAAGAATCAAACATCAAGCTCCATTTTTGAGGAGTTGTTTAAATGTAGAGACACTGCCCATGAAACCTGACAACAAACATCTATTCTGAAATGAATTACCGTGCTGCATGGGAGTCTCCATTAAAAGGACCTCCTGCTCAGCCTCTGTTGCGGTGTTGTCATGGTCATTACAATTTTGGCGCAGAGCTTCAGACCCAACACCCTGAAGGGTCTTAGTTGCTCTTGAATTTTGGATGTGGTCAAATGAAGTCATCATGTCAACATCTGTGTTCTGGAGATGAAGGATATAAAAATGTATCTCGATTTATTATATCATGGCTTACGCATCTCGTCATTTCATTTGCCAAATGTGAATTAATCTTCCTTAATTCTCCCAGTCACCTCATGGTCCATGATAGCCAACAGGTCCTGCCAGTGGAGCTCAAGGTCCAAGGAAGGGTTACCAGTGGGGGTGATATGGGACAGCGGAGGGTCCCTGCCTGGTGGCTGACGCTCCAGATCTCCCCTTCTACCACCAACATCACGTAACTGAGGGACAAGTAAAGGCCTTTACACACGGGGGGCGTGATGAATAAACAACACCAAATTCGGAAATTCTATAATATTTATATTTCTTGGGAGTATTTCCCATCCAAACCATTCATAACGGCTGTGATGTGAATTTGAGACAGTTGCAACACTTTTTCAATAAAAGGTTAAAATAGATTTGCGTAGGCAGAGGACCAACTACAAGGATCCTATTGACCCAGAGCAGCCTCTGGCAGTGTGGTTGAGGTAAGTTAGACTCAGGAACCTCCGTGTTGTTGTAAACTACAGTATTGAACATGTTCATTCTGCACAATGTGATTTGTTGAAACCTTTATTCGCGGTGCAAAGTTCAGAAAAATATACCGTGTTCCAAAAAGTAAAAATGGTGGCGCTTTTTCTCCACGTAAAATTGTATGACAATAACAACAGTTTGAAAAATATATTTACATGTAAATTAATCACACGAAAAAAAGGCCTTAAGCAGGTAAAATTGCTTTGTAATGTTGAAGGTCAAGAAGGAAACAGCAGAATGGACTGAAGAGAAAAGAAGAGGCTGTACCTGTTCTTCTTCTGTGACGTCAAAGGTTTCCTCCAACAGCCTCAAACACTCCTGGAGGGAGAAAGAATTCTGAAAATACAGACAGAGAGGAAGAGTTGAGTTGCATTTGGCTCAACGCCAGTTTGGACCAGCAGGTTTACTTCCCCACTGGTATCCATGTGTTTTGTATGAGCTGTGCTGGCGGTATGGCTTTAGGGATGACCAGGTCGGTCAGTCGGTTGATCCAAGACTTTGGTCTTGACTGAAATATCTCAGTGATCAAATGGATTGCCATACATTCTGGACAGATATTTACAGTTTATAGAGGATGAACCCCACCGACCTTGGTGATCACCAAACCTTTCCTCTATTGCAACCAACAGGTTGACATTTCTAGCTTAAAGTAAAATATCTCAACAAATAAATGGATTGCCATGAAATTTGGTACAGACATTAATGTATCCCTCAAGAATTAATTGTAATGACTTTGGTGACACATTAACTCTGATGTCATCAGGTCATCATTTCAGATTGTCCAAAACTTTGGTTTATGACCCAATACATGCAAAACTAATGACATTACCATCATCCTCCGCTGTACTTAGTGTTAAATGCTAATTAGCTAATGTTAGCATGCAAACAGGTTAAACCAAAATGGTGAACATGGTAAATATTATACCAGGTCTGAACACTAACTGGCTCCAGCTGTAGAGTGTGCTACCTTGAACTAGTGAACTTGATGTTTCACATATCGTATGTCGTACATGCTTTGCAGTATAGTTTTCTGTCCACACTTGTGTACATTGTGAAAGTTAAAGGGATCACAGAGAAACTTTTCCCCTTCAGCAGATGAATGTGAAAACATTTTGAGAGACAAAAGTAACCTGTAGGTCTGTGTGCATCTTTCTCTGTCTCTTTTATCCATGGAGTTTCTTCAGTGTTTTAGGAAATATCTGTCTAGTGTTTCCATCTTCCCTGGATCCGGTCGAACACTTCTAACCTCTGACCTGCAGTGTTGTGTGAGAAAGTGGATTCTGGGTTTCAGAATCATTTTTCTGCCTGAAAAACTAGGAACAGCAACATAATGCGCTATCAATATTTGATATATTTAAATGCCAAAATGAAATACAGTATGTTAGAAAATGAACTGAAATTAGGTAATTGTCCTCACTTTCAGTTTTATTGGTTCTTTCATTGGTCACGCATACACAAACACACATCTGTGCATGTTATGTGAGAGAACGCTGCGTGTAACAATGTTTGTCCAATGCTTCACAAATTCTGCTGAGCTGGCAGCAATCCTGCATTTAAAATTAGAAGCATCCAGCTCAGATTCCAAGCATGACAGACCTTCAGTGAGCGATCTGTTGTAACAGGAATTCAGCCAGCGCTGGGAGTTTGATACCGGGGGACTGCCCCGACTCCCAGCCGGATCAGCAAACTTTGTGGTAGAGCAGGGTCATCCTTCAATCAGGAGGTTCGGTGGTTCGATCCCAGGCTCCACTCGTCCACTAGACACTTAACCCCACATTGCTTTGGATTGTATGAATGGGTATGGGTATGAATGTATGAATGGTTAGTGAGTCCTGATGGGCAGGTGGCACCTTGCATGGTAGCCCCTACCACCAGTGTATGAATGGGTGAATGAACATAAAGCGCTTTGAGTGGGCGGAAGACTTGGACAGCGCTATACAAGTACAAGTCTATTTACCATTTACAGTATACCAGTTTCAGGCCTTTACACACCAGGGGCATTGTTTTTGTGTGATCAATTGCACGTCGATATATTTTTCCGAACTGTTGTCTTTGTCACAAGCACTTTTACACAGAAAGCAAATGCGGCCAGACGACACACCGTACAACATTTATTTTAAAGTTGCTACATACGAGATTGGGCGCATTTCTATTGCCTCATAACCTCTCAACATGGAGACGGCTGAGCTGGAGGCTCGCAGCCAACGGTGCGAACAGCTCTAACAGAAAAATTGCTGATGTGATTATTGAATTTAGCACCATTCAAAAGTTTGAAACAGTCGAAAATTTTGGAAAATGTTAAACAATTCCAGTGCTAATTAGTGAGCTTTAAAGGTGCAGGGTGGGCATTTTTTTCTTTTGGATAGAGATTGGATCTGTTTTCACCTGTTTTAAGCATTAATGCTAAGCTAACTGGCTGCTAGCTTCAACTAAAATATTTAATAAATCTGAGTCTTACTGTATCTTACCTGGTCTCCTTCATTCTGAGTTAGCTCTCTGTTGTTAGCATGGCTGTAGGAACCTCCAAGTCTTCGTCTTCCCTCTGTCCTCCTACCCAGGTGTTCCTCCTCCTCTCCTGGCTCCTCCACAGCACCACTGTTATGACGTACGTGATGCGTTTCTTCCTGGTTGCAGAGACAAAAAGGAAGAACGATCGAGTCAGGGCAGCCATTATGCCACAGGGATTCTGAAAACTCTCCCAAGTGCCTTTACACATCATGTTGAGTATTTGTCTCTACAGAAAGGCCAGCGTGCTATTCTAACGTACTGGTTGCCCTGCACACTTCTCAGTTTCATGATACGTTACTTTAAAGCAGCAAATCATTGATTGTTGGAGCTTCACCAGTAACTTCCTGGAGTACCTGCTGTTTGCCTGGCCAAGAAATAGTCCGGTACATTATCCAACCGTAAACTGGTCATAACTGGAATACGCTCTGCACCCGTCTCGATTTTGTCATAAATATTCAGCCATAATGTACAATAACATATGATAAAAAGAACAATTATGTTGATTAGTATTCGACACCTACAGCTCCCATGAGGGATGCCAGTGGCTCGGCCTAATGCGACACGTTGTGTTGGAGTTGGCTGAGACTTGATTAAGATCACAATCATCAAAGATCACATTCTATTGGCTGGTGTTTTTCATATATGCCCCTCTTCTTGAAATTACACTCAAAGAAAGGAAAAAATGTCGGATCTTCACATAGAAATATGTTAAATGTGTCTTTTTGACATGCATTTGGCATAATGCTTTTAGCTAGTAATGACAAACGCAAAACATGCTAACCACTGGAGCAGTATAATGCTACTGTCCTCTATACTGCCAGCCTGTATGTACAGAACATTACGTCTCCTGTTTTAGGGACAGACAGCCAGGCTCAGAATAGCTTCTACATTCTCCTGACTTGGCTGGTGGCTTACAGACAAACCCAGCGCCCGTCAACAGCTGGCAGGCGAGGACACGTATGTAGCTTTGAACATAAATGGGTTAGGCCTGTGCACTTATCCCTTACTTCACTACATGAGTGCAATTCAGAGCCCAAGTTTGAATCATGTTTGTGTTTTCAATTGAATTGAATTGAATTGAATTGATTTTGTAAGGCCCAAAATCACAAAATGCCTGAGGGCTTTACAATCTGCACACATATGACATCCTATGTCCTGGGACACTCACATCGGCACAGGAAAAACTTCCCCAAAAACAACCTCTAACAGGGAGAGAAAAGGAAGAAACGTTAGCAACAGAACCAAGGGGCCACATGAAACATGTACAACAGTAACCTCAGGGAAGTCAAGTGCGTTTGAATAGCCCTCAACCATACTAACATTTAAAAGATGTCACAGATTCCCAGACTAGAACAAAGAGGCAACAGTAACCAATAGCGTCCCGCTGCAGAGCTCCAGGCCCGGGTACCTCCGATGCTGGGACCCATTTCCATCACAAGGACCCTTGTTGGTAAATCACTTGTGTTAGGGTGAAAATGTTTACTGTCCTTCCTTATCAATAAATAACTTTGACGTGTCACTGTATTATGCTGCGCAGTACTGCTTTATCGTGCTTATCGTTATTGAGCGTATATTTAATACATGGTGTCACGTCACCTGTCACACGACGTCCAACAATAACACCGGGGTAAACAATACTACCTTATATGTTGCTATTACTGTAACTTATAAAGTAAGGTAATATAACGTTAAGCAGCAATTAACTTGTACTGACGTACGAATTCTAACGTTAACATTAACTTGACACATTGTCGGGCTACATCTCACATTATTTCTTCAGCTTTTTAGACGATGTATCCACTTCTATGTGTTGCATACTGCTGACCTATCTCCCCATTCTAATATGTGCACACTGTCATTATGTCCTTTAACCTATACAGCAGATTGTCCTGTTTTCTTCCCACAACACGGCTGAATAACAAAGCCCAAGTTAGCACCTCATGCATTTGTGTACATTTGTTTTCATGCATACCTCTCTTGTGCGTGTGTGTGTGTGTGTTGATGCAGTAAACAGGAGGGATTGCAAAACTGAAGGGATGTGAATGTGTGTCAGGTCGCGATCGCCAGCGATCAGGTTTCAAAACAAGCCAGTCAATCACAGGCTAATAAAAGTGGTGTGTGTGTGTGTGTGTGTGTGTGTGTGTGTGTGTGTGTGTGCCATTTGTTACACAAGGAGAACTCAAAAACAATGTTACATTCACTTTCAGGTGAAGGTGGCGGTCCGGCAAGTTTACAACTCTATGCGTTATATTTGTAATGTCCTCTGTGTGTGTGTGTGTGTGTGTGTGTGTGTGTGTGTGTGTGTGTGTGTGCTGTAAAAGGACACTGAGCTTCAGCTGTAGCTCCCAACAACAAACTGAAATACTTCAATCCCAGAATGATCAGTTTTTCCCTCTCTGCTCTCTCTGAATATGGCTTCCCTGCTCTCAACACATTCAATCTTCTCTTAATTTCTCTTTCTCTTTCTCTTTTGATAACTATAGAAATGCTGCTGTTTATCTCAGCCTCTGTTTCACAATTTGAAAGGTCTCCAGTTGCTGTCTGGGTGCGAGGGGGCTTAAGGCAACTGCCTGTACGCATTTGGAAGTGTCTTAACTGTGATGTATGGAGGATGATCATTTAAAGGGTGAGTGGAAAAATGAGAAAAGCACCTGTCTCAGGTAACAAACACCTGTCTCAGCTGTTCCCCTGGGTTAATGAAGTGGCTCTCAGTACGTGGGAGCAGATTTACACCAAACAGCAGTGTCTGTGCATCAACATTGTTTTGTTGTTTTGTGGAAACAAATGCTTTTTTTGCTGCAATAAAGACAAATGAAGTGTTCAGTGTTTGTCTATCCATCTCAAACTGAATTTATGGAATCTCCCACTTTTAAGCATGACAACTGTTACTAAAGCAGCTCCAGGTGTATTCAGTCTGATGTGACTTACTAGCCAAATTCACAAGAGGTATATTTATTTGAGTATTTTATATCATAGAACATAACTTCAAGCTTTCTTAGGCTTTTGTTAAGCGCAGAGGTTTTAGGACTCATTGCTGCAGCACTCTGTTGGTGTGTAATCCATGACAAAGTGCCACAGAATTCAAATTACACGAGAGTACTTTGAAACAAACACACACAGTTTTCTCAGTGAATGTAGCCGCTGTTACTCTGCTACTGGAACCCTGATTAACTGCTGCACATGACTCTGTAACACAGTGTGCGTACATGTTCAGGCCAATCTGTGGGCTATTTATATGTGTGTGTTATGGAGTCTTTGGGAGTGTTTCGTCACAGTGAACTTTGTGTGATCCTAAATAACGGTGATGAAACTTAATGAAAATGACACCACCCTTCTTTGCATCCACCCGCAGAGACATTTACATGTATCACCTAGCCTCTTAACGTCCAAGTATAAATCCTGTTTCAGTCATTAGAAAAGAGTTTTGCTTGACTTAAAGCAACCCGTTCTCGCTCCTGACTCATCAAATACGGACGCTTGGTCGGTGCAGACGAATCAAACACGGGACTTTCACCCAGGAGGCCAATGTCCGTGTCCTGTGTCAAACTTAAGGTCAACGTTAAGTTATTCAGTCATGCCAGTCGCTATTTGCGTGTCTCATTAGTATATTTAGTCCTGTTGCTAGTCAAGTAAGCTGTTTTCCTAACCCTTCAAGTTGTTTTGTCACCTAAACCTAACTCCCTGCGAAGATGGAAGTGTATTTTGAAAAGACACACTATTCATGTAATGGGCGTATATTGACACACGTCCAAAACTGACACTATCGGGGTATCTAGAGCATCATAGTTTGAAGCTCAGGGCCACCAACCAAGCCTCTACTGACAAGTTGTGGGTGAGAATGTGTTGGTTATTTCAGACACACGATGTGCCCTACAGATTATTTTCAGTTTCAACACATTAGTGTCTGAGGTGCCAATGTATGTGCTTACGTCTGTCTCATGGGCCAAAGCTTGACCGGGCCTGTCTGAGGTGTTGCCATTAATAAGTGGAGCACACGGCGTAAGTTCATGGAGGCTGGAACACGAAGTCAGAGCTTTGAAAATACTTGCTTTCACTTTCTTTTATGAAAGTGAGATTAGATGACAGATGCCACTCTTGTGTCTCTGTGTTACATACAAACCTGGAGCCAGGATGAGATCAGCCTACTCTAGCTCAACAACTGGAAGAGCTGGAAAACAACCACCTCTAAAGCTCATTGCTTAACATAATGATTGTGTTTACAACATAGACAAATCCTGACATGAAGGGAGACTTCAGGTGCTTATTAAAGCAGTGTAAATGATTTATTTTGGGCCTCTTAAGGGCAATAGAAAAGATCTCAAAACAACACTGATATGTGATCACTATGAAGTTGTTGTGACAAACGTGTTAACAAAGAGTTGAGCAGACATGAAGCAACCGTAGCATGAATTCAGTGTTGTGTTTGTGGCCACTTGACAAATATAAGTCCAGTGTTCTTTTAGCTCTGTTTTCTTCTCCACCATCTCCTGAGACAATGACCGGCCTCTTTTTAGCTGTGGCTCAGTGGTAGAGCAAGGTTGTCCTTCTATCAGTGGTGGTTCGATCCCCGGCTCCGCTAGTCCATGTCGATGTGTCCTTTGGCACGACACTTAACCATGAATTGCCCCCATAGCTGTGCCTACGGTGTGTGAATGTTAAATAGTTCTGATGGGCAGGTGGCACCCACTTCCCATCAGAAACATAGACGAGCTGTTTCACTGCAAAGTAAACTGGCAAAGACATTCTAAATATAGCGCACACTTAACAGACTGATTTCTTTCTTTAGGTGGGCACTACTTTTAGATGGCTAAAGAACATTTTTGTCTTGTCTGCTTCTCCAGGTTATCTACTGTTGCTGACTATCAAATAGTACCTCATACAACCCCACTCAAACACATCCAAACTATCCCTTTAGGTTTGAAGGAAGTAGTCTACTGCATACAGCCAGCAGTAATCAGGTTACTGAGGTGAAGCACAAGGACCGTCTGTGACTTTATGTGTGCTTATTTAAAAGGTGTATTCTCTCCAGCAGGGTGTTCCTACTGCATTTCAACTGTATGGATTATATTGCTTTATTTTCCTGGCTGTGGTTAGGTGAGATTTCCTGCTGACTCATCTAGCGCTGACTCACTATCTCACATGACATTACACTCAGTTTTGGTGACAGCCAAAACAAAAAACAGCCCTGTGGTCCCCCAACACTGATTCATATGATTTATAAATACATATTTAAATTGCTACTTCTGTGGCAAGTAGGTGGGTCAGTTGTCTTCTGGGAGTGTCTGAGGTTTGGCTGTGGAAATCAAATGATTTTGACTTTTTAAGAGCAACTATTATATATTCTGATATCACATGAGCTCTTAAGTTTGTAGGAAGTAACTTTCTACTAGTAGAAACTAGTTTGTTTCCAGCAGACTATTGGCCGGAAGAAAACAACGTTTGTCTTTAGGCTCTCGCAGCCGTTTTGAAACCCGTCAAACTGTGCATGAACAAAGCTTTCTGATCTTGATCCCACAGGGTTATGACATGGACAAAGGTCAACAGAGATTGCTGATCTGAGGTATACATAACCATGTTGACCCTACATGAACTTAGCTCTTAATACTCCTCTGACCCGTAACATCATGACGGAACCATTTCTGCATAAAAATACATTTCTTCTTGTGGGAATCAAATCTATATTAGCATTTTAAAATGTTTGAAATGTAAATGTTCCTCTGCTGATTAACAAGTAAATGTAGCTGAAACACAAATCTTAAATGTTGTTAAGCAGAGTAAATGAAACCGCTGTACCTCTTTATCCTCCTCCTCTTCTTCCTGCAGGGTACCAAGTCCAGCTCTGGGTTCCAAAGGTGGGGCAGTGTGGTCTCTTTCTACCCCAGTTGGTGCTCTTTCCAGCAGGTCTGGACATACCATGGGAAGAGGATCCGGCTCCCGCTGGACCAGCCATGTCTCCAATTCTGCATGAGGAACCTGTGGGAAAGGTATGGTGAGATAGGGGATTGGTGAGAGCCTCTGTTTAATAAAGACTGTACAACTGGAAACTGTTCTTACCATTAGGACCATATAATTCTGATTCCATCTGAATGGGACTATTTAGATAAAAATGGAAATGGACATGTTTCCCCACCTGTAGTCTGTCCAGAGAGTGGACCCAGCCCAGCAGCCTTCGCGTCGTGAAGAAGCCATCCAGGTCCACGCTCTTGGGGTGCAGGTCTTGGCCGTCCCCCAGGCGGTTGCGGAGGTTGTGGAACTGCGTCTGGGTCAGCGCCGAGGTCGGACCCAACATCATCTCGTGCCACGAAGGAGGCAGGTAGGACTCCAGTCCCACGTCGACCCTCAGCCCACACAGGCTGAGCAGGATGGCCATCTGGATGAGCCCCTCCGTGAAGTTTTTCTTCAGGTGCAGCATAGTCTTTGGTTCGTCAGAGGACGTGTAAAGGGTCCGGAGCTCAGCTCACTCACCACCGCAAGAGGTGTCTCTGCTGTCTTTGTGGTAAGTCCCAAGAAGATCTGTCAGCCACTGCTGACCTCCCTGAGGAAGGGAGTCCAAACCTCAAGGTCCAAATAAAATGTCCTTGGTACCCTAAATAACCTGGTTGGGAAACTCTTCACTCCCCCTCTCTTAAATTATAATGTTAAATTGCTCTGGTAGGGAAGACTTAAAAATGTACTTCTAAACAAGACATACACAGTTTGGACCAACTGCTCAGTGTAAAAGAAGGAACTCTTCTCTCACCAGGACTGATTGGGATCCAAATGTTTAGAAACAAAGATGGACAGTGAAACTTTCCCAGCTTCCTCTGAGAAATCCTTGTTGCTCTTCACGGAAAACTTCACACAACGTTTCTTCCTGATAATGAAAGAGAGCAGCTTACTTCAGAACAGAGGACTGACGGCACGGGACAAATATTACACACGTCAAAGCAAATATCATTTGTGATGTTGATATACTTAATGTTCTGAACTCAGTACAAAGGTCTGCAATCAAAGGTTGAATCCATCTGCATTCTTTTGGGATTTTTTCAAATGGAAACGCCCACTGGGCAGTTAGCAAGAAGGCAGTGGCGTAGATTACCAAAGCAAGCGGATCAATAAGGTTATGTGAACTCCAGCACTAGCTGAGTCAACGTTAGCTGGGCTAGGTTTGTAAATTACTGAAAGGGTTAGTTTGAATGTTTTGAAATGGGGTTGTATGTATACTCCTGTGTTCTGTGGAGTAAAATGACAATGGATTTGGGTTTTTGGCAATGGACTCTTGTGGGTTTGAAGAGAGCAATACAACAACTTTACTTCACTGAACAGGACTTGTCTTCTACGACAGCTTCGAGCCGGTCGCCTGCATACATCGCTGCTTGTTTCTGAGTTCAACCCATTGGTGTGTTGACGGGAGGGTGAGCTAATTGTGGGTTGTATTCATTCAGTCACACAACGCAGCGGTGGTCGTCGCAGACACACCTGGCGGAGAGCTGCGCTCTACTGCGTGCACAATAAGAGTGCCACAGCTGTATCAGTGATAATAATAACGACACTACAGCTATCAGCTAATCTTCCACTGTCAGTGTAGCCCTGCAGAGAGGCAGCTGTGAAGAGGTTTGACAGTTTGTGTGAGGAGATAAGGCAGACAGACGGGGCAGTCTCTCTCTCTCTCTCTCTCTCTCTCTCTCTCTCTCTCTCTCTCTCT